CTGCAGTTTAGGGGGGGCTGGGTTCGAACCTGCTACTCTCGGTATATGGTGCTGGTGCCTCCCAACCTGCAGGGTCTTGATCTTGCTCAAACTCCTGAGCTCAAGCAGTCTTCCCACCTCAGCTTCCCACTGAGCCACTGTTCCTGACCCAGAGTTAGTTGTAGTCCTACTAACAGTGCAGAAGGTCTTAGAGAAGACTTTTCTAGCATTCTTTTTTTTTTTGAGACAGAGCCTCAAGCTGTCCCCCTGGGTAGAGTGCCATGGCATCACAGCTCATAGCAACCTCCAATTCCTGGGCTCAAGCAAGTCTTCTGCGTCCACCTCCCAAGTAGCTGGGACTACAGGCACCCGCTACAGTGCCCTGCTATTTTTTGGTTGCAGAAATCATTGTTTGGCAGGCCTGGGCTGGATTCGAACCCGCCAGCTCAGGTGTATGTGGCTGGCGCCTTAGCTGCTTGAGCCACAGGCACCGAGCCAATTGACCATATTTGGATTAATTTGGGTCATTTTAAGTCTCCCTCAGTCTCTCTGGTTCCTTGAAATGTATTTATTTTTTAAAGAAACCAGATCAGTTTGTTTTTGTTTTTAAGACAGAATCTCACTTTGTCATCCTCAGTTGAGTGCCGTGGCATCATAGCTCCCAGCAACCTCAAAGTCTTGGGTTCAAGCAATCTTGCCTCAGCCTCCCAAATAGCTGGGACTATAGGTGCCTGCCACAATGCCTGGTTATTTTTAGATACAGGGTCTTAAAGTCCTGAGCTCAGGCAATCCACCCTCCTCAACCTCCTAGGGTGCTAGGACTACAGGTGTAAGCAACCATGCTGGGCAAGCAGCACGGTCTTTTTTTTTTTTTAAGAGACAGAGTCTCACTTTATTAACCTTGGTAGAGTGCCATGGCGTCACAGCTCACAGCAACCTCCAACTCCTGGGCTTAAGTGATTCTCTTGCCTCAGCCTCCCGAGTAGCCTGGACTACAGGGACCCACCACAATGCCCATCTAGGTTTTCTATTTTTAGTAGAGACAGGGGTATTGTTTTTTGCTCAGGCTGGTCTCAAATTCCTGAGCTCAGGCAATCCACCTGCCTGTGCTAAGATTACAGGTGTGAGCCATGGTGCCTGACCCTTTTTTGGAGTCAGTCTCACTTTGTCACCCTCAGTAGAGTACCATGGCATCATAGCTCCCAGCAACTTCAGTTTTCTTGCTTCAGCCTCCCAAATAGCTGGGACTATAGGCACTTGCCACTTTGCCACTTGCCAAAAATTGCCCAGCTATTTTTAGAAATGGGGTCTTGCTCTTAGACTGGTCTCAAATTTGTGAGTTCAAGTAATCCACCCCCCTCAGCCTGCCAGAGTGCTGGGATTACAGGTGTAAGTCACTGCACTCAGCCCCTCCCCCCTTTTTTAGTTTTTTCTCTTTTTTTGCATATAGGTTTCTTGTTATTCTTTTTCTTTTTTTTT